TCTGCTAAAGGTTACAAACCATCTCTGACTCAAAAACTTCCCAAATAGAAAATAAACAGACTGGGAAAGTAATAGAAGGAAGTATCACGTGCCTGCCCTGCTCTTACTCTTCCTTATGTTACTGACGACAGTATATCAGGCTAGACAGACCTTTCTTCTAATAAAGCGCAGTCATACTACGTCTTTTTAAGTCAGCAAATTAATCACCTTGAGCTTTGTTGTTATTGTTAGAACAGAATTAGTGTTATTTTGTAACACTCGATCTGATAACAAACTCAGGTGACTGAAAGAACAGTAAGATTCCTGGTAATAAGTAACTATGTTACTGAATTAAACAGGAGTAATAGGGTTATTTTGCATGAAGCTCAGACTGCCACACCACCCTCAACACCATTCTGGAAGTAGGTTATGTGCTTTGAAATATCCTCAACTGCAGAAGTTTAGAAAATGCTTGCTCATTGCCTTGCAAGTTGAACTAGCTGGGAAGTTTCTGATAACAAGGCGTTGGTAAAACTCACTACGGTTTATCAAAATAGTTCAAACAACCTGTCATCAGGGGAAACCTTACTGTGTAGGTCCTACACGTAACACCCTGCATCTGGGTATACAAGGGTTGCAAATCCAACTGCTCTACTACACAACTGGTCAGAAGTAAGCAGACACCATGGAATTCATGACTCTTGAAATTTCCTTTGTTTCTGAACATCAGCTTCCAGGATGGACTCCCATCTTCTATAAACACTGCAATGAGACCTTTCTTAGGCTAAATGACCCAGGGCATCTACTGTCCCAAAGTCTGCTGGCTCCCTCAGCTATCTAAATTCTGAGCACCATAAAGAAAACCAAAACCAAAAGACGACAACCTTGAAACAAGATAAAACCCAGCTCTCAGTAATAAGCTAGAAGCCTTGCTATCTCAAGGAAAGGAGCAGTCTGCAGGGCAAAAAAAAATTTTAGAGAAGGCCAGATACTGAGCAAAACTATTAACAGTTCTCATTTTTACAACTGAAAACAGTGCGGAAACTTGTTCATCATGTGCTGGTGCTCCCATGACAGTGTCCCATCCAGCCCAGTGGGTGACACTGAATGGTCTTGCTCACCTCTACAACAAGAGGTAGTACTGGGAGTTCTTTCTAATACTGTTTCTACATACTAGAACTTCCATCTCTCATTTCACCTTCGAGGAGTGCAAATACTTAATGGAAATGCTCTATTCTTATATTTGAAAACCAAAAAGTAAGAAGACATTCTCCTTTTCCCTGCTTGCCTGCTGGGGTGGAAACTGAAATAAGGAAGAAAGAGGTTTCACTATTGCCTTGATCCCACATCCCTAAAGCTTCTGCTTTAGGTTCTCCTCCAGCAATTGCTTCTATCATTCCTTAGAGCTTTTCTAAACGGCAGTAGCAGAATGCTATTGACATGATTTATCTCGATTTTATTGCTCAGTGCTAATGGGATTTATATGGTGCATGTGTTTTTTGTGGCACACTGGGATCTGTATCAACACAATTCATTCTATTATTAAAACACCCCAATCTGCTCAACTCCTTATCAAATTCTTTGGAAAAATACTTTACAGTTGCTTTAGTAGGCAATTTATATAGCCAGCTGATCACCTCAATTTGCAGACTTCAGTCTAGCTCACACATAAAAACCTATCTTAAATTCCAACTTCTGAACACACATACCTAAAGGACAAGCAAATTGCTCTGTTGTATAAGTTCACTGCACAGAAATCTTGTTTTTTCCCTTCCTACTGTTATAATACACCTAGAGTTTTCATTTATTATGTAATTTTAATTTTATCTCTGTACAATGTCAGTCACAATGCACTGTTATACTTCTGAATCATTATATATTGATATCCTTCCCTTAGCCACTTGACTTCCAGTTAACAATTTATAAGCTGGAGATAGCATGCGACCGAACCTCAAAATAATCTCATTAGTACCATTTATTTTCTTTAGTCATACTTTCAATCTCTATAACTTCCTGGGGAAATGAGTTTCAAGACATTATTACACTTCATGTGAAAAATACTTCCTTTTACATTGGTTACCTGTTAACTGTGTGGGCCTTATTTGTTGCATTGCAAAAACCAGAAAGTGGTATGAGGAAACTGTTGCAAATTTATAGACTTCTATCATCTTCCTCTCTTCCTTTCCTGACCATTACCACCTTTTCAGGCTAAAGAACACTTACATGAAAACTAAGAAATGACTGAATACCAAGTGCTCCCCAATGTACTTTTTTCTGTGTCTTCAGAGCAATTAGGCAACAAAGCAATGAAAGCAACTCCAGAGTTTGGGCGTATGGGTGCATTGGGGCTCCCTGTTAAAGAGATTTACTACTAAGGGTTCAGACAGGACTGCAGAATACAGAACCTATGAAAACCACCTGACCTAAAATAAAGCTAAGTCTTAGAAAAAAGTACTCAGAAGTTCGTGGCAAAGTTTATTAAATTCTTTTGTGAAAATTCCAGAATTACAGGTACAAATATCTAACACTAATACAATTTCCTACCTTTTGAAATGTAAAATTAGAAAACTCATTCACATGGAAAAGATAATCTGAAAGACAGCAAAAATTCCATGCATGGAATTAGCTATTTGATCCCGCTATCATCATCAATCATTTAGTCCTTCTGCAAATGTGATTATTGTCCTTGATTCTTAAGCAGCACGGCACAAAAGGATTCATTTCTCTTAGCCACCAAATAGTTAAGTGTTGATTCCAAATAACTTCCTAAATTCAGTTTATCCATCTTTGAGCTGAAAACATAGTGTAATGCTTTTAAGGACAGCAGGAAGAGACATGTAGCTTAAGGGTAAAGTCAGGAGCCCTTTAGCAAGCTGAAAAAGTTACCAAGTTGCTTGCCAGATCTTCTCTGGCATTAAAATTCTTCAATGTGCTTTCTTGGCTAATTATCAGTCTGCTCCCTGTATCAAGGCCAGTACATTTAGAAAAACATGACAAACATTCAGACAGTGCAGTATAAAGTGTGCCTTCTGTAACAATTCCAAGGGCTTTTTAGAAAAAAAAAATGGTCGAGAAAGTTTAAGCTACATTGTCAAGCCTATAGATAGTCCATGTTCTTTCCTTGGTTCCTTTTTATCAAAATTTGAAGGAAAAACACACCCACCAAACACAAATACACACATTCTTCCCCACACCAGTGTCTTAAGGAGAATCTGTTCACCAAGATTAAAAACATGTAACCCCTCTTCACACACCTCTCCAAATCCCTCTACTTTCATCCCTCAAGAACTGCAAACACTAGATATCAGATATGAATAAAGGCAATGCCTCTCCCCCACTTGAAAACACAGAGCCACTGTCCTGAACAAGATTATTAAACAGAAGCTTGTTTTGCCCCAAGTTCTGTCAGCTTGTAAACCTAGCAGATTAAAAGGAATTTAAACTCAGATAAATTCTTCAGTAAAGCAAACTAGCCTTGTGCCAAAAGAATAAAGAGGCAACGCATGCAGGCAACTGCTTCTGCCACAGTAGTATGTCACAAAAATACACATACCTGCCCACATACACAGGTACACATGTACATATTGGTATCAAAATAAAAATACTTCTTCACTCTTTCATTCTCATTACTGTTATCTATCACTTGGACAATAAATTGGCAAACTCAGACTCATTCTGTAGGACAACTAGGTACTTATTCTAAGATACTATAGCACATAGTAAACTTGAATGTACTTGTGTCAAAAGAAAGGTGTAACGATACACAAATGAATAGTCTGCACACATATCAAAAACTTAAAAGTGAAACCACTAAGTCTTGGAGAGAATTCGATTCTCCTTTTTTAAAAAATTTGGTCTATAATCTTAACTATGTGCTTTGTTAAAAGCTAAGCTAAGAGAAGCAATGCTACATTTCAAGCTCTGGAGTTGGCTCTTCTGCCACAAACTACATAATTTAATAACTGACTTTCTACAGAAAAAAAAAATTGCCAGTAATAGTTTGTTCACCTAAGCCTTGAAGAGTAGAACAACTTTGTGAGTCTGTATTACGCTTCCCACAACTGTGAATGTGAGTATCAAACACACAGAATGGCTAGTGGATCAATCAGATATGATTATCATTTTTTATTTTCAGTTATAACTTTTTTTTCTGTAAGACATCCATCACATGTTACAATTTGCCTACATATAACTCATAGCCAAATTTTGAACAAGATTCATCCTAAATTTATTTTAAGAAGCTTAGATAGTAGCACAATAACAATGATCTATCTTGATCAGAGACATAAATGAATGGGTAGTTACACAGACGTCCAATCAAAATGTTAGAAGCCAGCACCAGAATTTTATTGAAACCATAATTATGTTTCTTCTGAATATGACACTAGAATAATTCTCACAGTTGCTCATCAATTTATGCATTAATGAAATAAGTCCAGTTCAGTCTGCTTCATTTAAAATAAAGGCTGCATCCATGCTTTCTTTGACAGAAGCCTTTCCATGAAGAAGGCACTGCTTACTAACTTATAGATGGGCACCTATAACAATGCTAAAAGACAACCACCAAAACCAGCATGTATGACAATATCACACCCATGCATACCTCCAGTAAACAAAGCAAGAGAGACGTCACTTAAGATTAAAAAGCATGAAAATCCCTGCAGAGAGCAGTTTGCTGCTTTAGCTTCACAGTCCCACTGTCCACAACACAATCGTGTTCACACGAGGCAGATCTTCATTTTATATCAATACTATTCTTATTTTTGCCAAGTGGCAGAGATTTAACACCTAAGAATGGCTTTAGGTAGGCTGGACAGAAATGAGGACAATAAAGCAAAATTACTTATCGAATGTATACATATAATTACACTGAAGTTGTAGATAGAACTACATGCACTATTGGTGACATCTTTTTGTCTTAAAAAGAACATCTCTGTTAATTGTGACTATGAAGCTTCTTTTATCTCTCTGCTGGCATACGATTTTATTTAGAATACAAAAATAACAAAAAGTCACCTTACCTTTTTCTTCATCTATTCGAAAAACTCCTATACCAGATCCATCTCTGATGGAGTATCTAATCTCCCCATCTCGTCCCGTGTCTTCATCATAAGCAGATACTGTCATTACTGAGGACCCAACAGGGGCATCTTCTTTTATAAAGCCTTTATCTGCAAATACAGAGAACCGTGGAGGGTGCAAGTTTTCATTCACGTCAACTATCTCAACCTCGACGTAACACGTGGAGGACAATGAAATAGGTTTTCCTTTGTCCTTGGCCCGCACAGTCAAGTTATAAAGTTGTTTCTTTTCATAGTCTAGTCTTTGTACAATACGTATTGCTCCACTTAGTTTGTCAACATCAAAGGTGCCATCTCCACTGTCCAAAAGACTGTATCGTACTTGACTTGACTGGCCTAAATCAGGATCGTAGGCTTCTAGCCACGTAATGATAGTTCCCTCAGGAAGATCTTCTCGAATTTTCACATGATAATTTGAAGGAATAAACTTAGGAGGATTGTCATTAACATCTTCTACAGACACTTTTAAAATAACTGTTGAAAATAATTGAGGTTCTTCAGTAGGTTGGTCCCTAGCCTCTATTTTCAAGAAATAGACATGCTGTTCTTCACGATCCAGAACCCCTACAACTTCCACAACTCCTGTCACAGCATTAATAGTAAACTTGTCTGTATCTGTAAGAAGAGAATATTTCACTTCTCCATTAGCCCCCAAATCTCTATCAATAGCTTCAATTTGAATTATTTCAGTGTTTGGCTCTTTGTTTTCGCTCACTTCAACAAAATAGCTGTCTTGCAGGAACTCCGGTGGGTTGTCATTAGCATCCAAAATTTTTATATCTAAAAGGTGCCAGGCAGACTTCTGTGGTATTCCAAGATCATAGACAGTAATATTTAGAGTATATTTATCTTTTACTTCTCGGTCAAGGGGAGATAAAATTTTCAGCACTCCTCTCTCCATATCAACAATGAAACTACTATCTTCATTACCTCCAGAAATAACATACACTAGCTTTCCATTGAAGCCAGTATCAAGATCAGTAGCATTCATAAGCATTATGCTGGAGCCTACAGGTTGGTCTTCTCTTATCTCAATGCTACTGGGGAGAGTACTTCTAAACTGAGGTGCGTGCAGATTCACAGAGTGAGTGTCAAAGAAAACATCCTCAACTTCTCCACGACTATGCAATTTATTTGCTTGTAAGAGTTTCTCTGCGAGCATTTTGGCAACACCAGTTTCTTCACATTGCAAGTTGACCGGTTTGCGACTAGTAGCTACAGTTATGTTGATATACAACGGTTTTGCAAAGTTTTCTCCATCTGTAGCTGTAATTTTCAAACTGTGAAAAGACATTTTAGCACCTAGGCCATCTATTAGTGACTGCTTGAGTGAAAGTACTCCAGAATTTGGATTCAGGCTAAATAAATCCAGTTCATTTCCAGATTCAATTTGGTATCTCACCAACTGGAGCTCATCAGCATCAATAGCAGATACAGTTGTTATTTGTTCTCCAACACCAAGATCCCTGGGGATTGTTCCCTCACAATTTATTTTCTCGAACAGAGGTATATTGTCATTCAGGTTATTTAAAATAATAGTAACAGGAACTTCAACTTCTCGGCGATATGGTATACCCCAATCAGAAGCTCGAATCCTCAAACTGTAAATCCTTGGCATCAATTCATAATCCAGGTCTTCTGAGGTACTAATAACCCCACTGAAATGGTTAATCACAAACGGCAAAGGATTTAGGTTTGCAATGCTATAGGTCACATAACCATTCTCCCCTTCATCAGGATCCTTCGCACTTACTCTCAAGATACTCGTACCTATTGGCACGTTCTCATCGAAGGAGGCTTTATAGGATGTCTGAGTAAATTCAGGAGGATTGCTGTTCATGCCTAGTACCTTAATTACTACTTTTGCAGAAGCTCTTCTGTCACTTGTCACAACTTCAAGTTCAAAATGGGATGCATATTGTGCTTTTATGGGTTCTAAAGTGGTAATAAGACCAGTGTGAGTGTTTAAATTGAATTTTACTTTGCCTGGTGTACTTTTAAATACATATTTTAAATGTGGGTAACTAGGCAGAGCTTTCACCATTATCACAGGTGTGTTAGGAGGGGCAAATTCACTTATTTCAGCTCTATATATCTCTTTTTCAAATCTGACAGGACCAGACTTAAATTGCGGTGATGTCACATGAACAACTTTTACAGAAGAAAACTGTGGGGGATTTCCTTTATCTTTAGCTTGAAGGGTAAGGTTGTATCCAAAAGGGTGGCTCTCCCAGTCGATGTGACCAATGGCTTTTATTCTGTATTCTTTACCTCCTGGAACAGACCTCACTGTTTTGAACTGTTGAAGTGGATCACCTGCAACAATATTTAGTGATGCTATTTCCCCATTTGAACCCTGATCATTGTCCTCTACAGTTACAATTGCATAAGTTGGATCTTTGTCTGATTCTGACGGAGTCAGTGTAACAGCTGTAATGACGGGGGCATATTCGTTTGCTTGCTCTACGTGAACAGTTAGTTTTGCCATACTGCTTATGCCACTGCTACCATACAGCTTCAGCCCACGGTCCACTGCAAGAATTTCCATCTCGTAACGCTTAGTGTCCGAGTAATCAAGTCTACCAGTTAGAACTACCACTCCACTAGTTGGATGTATAGCAAACACATCCGTTCTTTCTTTAAAGCTATAGTAGAACTCTCCATTTGTTCCTATATCTGCATCTGTTGCACTGACTCTTGCGATGCTGGTCCTTATTGCTGTGTTTTCAGGCAAAGAAACACTGTAAGATGTTGGAGAAAACAAAGGCCGCAAGTCATTTGTATCCAGTACCTGTATTCTGACCTTTGTACGCGTTTCAGCATTTGTATTTTTTTCAACTGCTTTAACAGTCAGCATATAATGGTCTTTCACCTCTCTGTTAAGGATAGCTGTGTTTCCTCCCTTGGTCCGTATTCTCAAAAAGCAAAAGTTTCCAAGAACATATTCTTCAGCTTTGAACAAGTTCTCATTGTCACCAGAAATAATTTTGTATCTTAGGTCCCACAACGGATTTGTAATGTAAATGCCCATTTTCACTGGATGCCCAACATAAGTCTTGGCTGCAGAATTCTCATACACAGTAGCATTATACTGCACTTGTGTAAACTGCATTGGTGGAGCATGATGCGGCCTTTGATTTCCTTCACAGTTTCCAAAATGCTGCATGAGCAGCATCAGCAGCAACAGCATAGTCAAGTATCTTCCCATGGCAGCAATTACAAAGAAACCCTGAAACAAGAAGAGAGATGTGTTAAGGCTTATAACTGTTCAAATACCATTCAAATAACCTTGATGTTTAGTTTAGAATTCACGCTTGAAAGAAAACTAGAAGTTACACATCTAGGTAATAAATTTTTTTTTTGCAGAAAGTTTCAACATGATTTACAGTAACAGAAAAGCAGGTAAATTAAAACTCCTGGAAACCATCAAGAATCTTCAAGATCCTTGGTCTAGACCAAGTCTAGGTCTAGACCATTACACAAAGAGAATACACAGAGTTAACTTCAAATGAACAACTCTATGAAGCAACAGCATCACTGGCATATTTCTTCTAACATGTAAGTGAGCAAACTAGACTTGAACTCATATGGAGTAGTGAACACTCACTCCAGTCCTCTACTTCACACATGACATTGTCTTCTGGCAGAAAGTTCTCCTCCCTCATTTCGCTTTGGTTGTAAAATGGCTATGGCCAATGATGTGGAAGTCAACTGCAAGAGCTGACTTGAAATTATCATGAATTCTTCAACGTACTATGAGCATCTGTTCCAATAATTATAAAAATTATAAACAAAGAATAATTTTGTATGTATCCTTATAAGAGTAGTGGATAGCAGTGCATATTGTAAAAAACATTTTTATCAAGCATCACTAGAGTTGCAAAACCAATACAGAATGAGGCATATTCCGTTATTCCCCTCTCAGAACAGATCTGAAACAAATTAGTACCAAGAGCTACCATAACAGGAATAACTGGAG